GTGATATCGATATCAACATCGGTTTGCCGGAGTCATCGGTTCGGGGATTCTGGATTGCTTGGGCGGGTTTTGCGCGCGGGATCTCGGCTGATGTGGCGAGATTTCTTCGGGGTATTCGTTGTGCCGATGAAAATTCACTGATTGAAATAGATATAGGGCTCTGGGTTCTGCGTAGAGTAGATGGGGCGAGGAAGTCGAGATATAGCGATTGCGAGGTGGCGCCCGAGGTTGCTCTGCTGTAGGCTCCCGCGGATGGCGATGCGAGTGTTGTAGGCCTGACTGCTATCGCTCTCCTCGCGATGCGCAAACAAGAAGTACACATTGTAGATGGGGAAGCCATTCCTGTCGTATCGAGATGGTCAGAGGCAAAGGTTGACAGGGTCTGAGGTCATAGCTAAGAATATCACCGCGCCATGTCAGGACCAATCACAGCGTCTGTCAATACGAAGGTCTAGATCGCTTAGTCAGGCACAAAACCCCACCTTGTACCGCCGCCACCATCCTTCACGGAGCAACGGGAATTGTTCCAGCCTTACCCGCCCATGGTATTTACTTATCGTGCCTGACACCCCAATGTATGCCCAAAGGAAAGATTCCCATCCTCTGCAATTGCACACGCGGTCCTCTTGCACCACCAATTCCTCACCTACCCTCGTTTCTACTACTATGCCGAAACACCACAACCCTTATTGGGACGTATCAGAGGCCGAGTTGGGCAGCGAGAGATTTGCAAAGCAAGAGGACGACAAAGATGCCTTAAGTAAGCTGCGACAGGAGTTTGTGATTCCCACAAAGGGCGATCTGCGGAACAACAAATACGGATTCCAGCAGAAGCAAAAAAGCCCCACTTCAAAACACGACGACCATGAGGACTCAATATATTTTTGCGGAAATTCTCTTGGTCTGCAACCACGCAGAACTAAAGAATATGTCAATCGCTACCTGGACACTTGGGCTTCCAAGGGTGTGTTCGGCCATTTTACCGACTATGAGGGAGGTCTGCCGCCATGGTTGAATATTGACGATGCAGTCAAGGAGCAGACGTCGAAGATTGTTGGGGCGCTTCCGTCCGAGGTGGTTATCATGGAGACGTTGACTGCGAACTTACACCTTTTGATGGCGAGCTTCTACCGCCCATCCAAGGACCGGTGGAAGATCATCATCGAGGGCAAAGCCTTTCCCAGCGACCACGTACGTTGGCTTCATTGCTTTTGGTCAAGCTTCAGAGACTGACTACATTGCAGTACGCCGCACTTTCGCAAATCGCACACCACAACCTTGATCCTTCCGCGCTCATCACCATCGACCCACCCTCTGCCTCTGCCCCTTACCTCTCCAACGAACATATCCTCTCCGTGATCTCACACCACGCGCCGTCCACTGCACTCGTCCTACTACCCGGCATTCAGTTCTACTCTGGCCAATTCTTCGACATCGAACTCATAACACGACACTGTCGGTCACTAGGCATAACAGTAGGCTGGGATCTAGCGCACGCAACGGGCAACGTGCCATTGAAGCTGCATGACTGGAACGTCGACTTCGCCGCATGGTGCAACTACAAATACATGAACGGTGGCCCAGGAGCAATCGGTGGCCTCTTCGTGCACGAGAGACACGGGAAGGTAGAGCGAGCATCATCAGCCGCATCATCAACCAAGACCAACGGACCACAAACCACATCGTCAGACAACAACGCACAACTCACCTACCAACCCCGCCTAAGCGGCTGGTGGGGTAGCGACAAAAGCAGTAGATTCCGCATGGACAACGTCTTCGTCCCCATCCCCGGCGCCAGCGGTTTCCAACTCAGCAACCCAAGCGCAATAGACATGACATCAGTAATGGCCAGCCTCGACGTCTTCGCCCTCACAGACATGGATGCCCTCCGCGCCCGCAGCCTAAAACTAACCGCCTACCTCGAAGCCCGCCTCCTCAAATACGACGGCAGCGGCGGTGACCCCCCTTACAAAATTATCACTCCACCGAACCCTGCAGAGCGCGGCGCTCAACTCAGCGTCCTGCTTAACCCGGGTCTCCTCGATCAGGTCCAGCATTACATCGAAGAACGCGGTGTTGTCGTCGACGAGCGCAAACCTGATGTATTAAGAATCGCGCCAGCGCCATTGTATAACTCCTTCCTCGATATCCACCGCTTCATCACTGTTTTTCACGAGGCGTGTCGGAAAGCTGTCGAAGGCACTGCGACGCCCGGGGTGGATAAGAAGGGTCTGCATAATGATGTTGTGCCCAAGGCTATTGCGACTGTGTGATGATGATCTTGCTGTTGTAGGAGGGTGTTGTTTTTTCTTTTCTCGAAATATTAGAAACAATGGGCTGGGTGGGTGGGTGGTTTATCTGATTGTTTTGTCGTTAGGTGGGAAAGTTGGGAAGGAGTGGTAATTTTTAATTGAAAAACGTAAGATGGGTATGGGTGTGGATATCCAGTATATATGGACATGTGGTGGGTGACAAACAAAACGATGGCAAGAATCAACATGCTTAGAAGAAGTAAATACACAACAAGAACAAACATTGACATGAACATAATTTATATGCAAAGAACCGTCGTCGTAGCAGTCGTAGACCACTGCCTACACAACATCATCTATCCAAACCCTCCCAGAAACCCTACACCACGAAATACAACGCTCAAGCCTTGAGCGCAAAAGAAAACAAACTATCCATCTGAACCCACTGCCTTCCATTCCTCTCGAGCCACTTCTCCACTACCCCCTTCAGCGTCCCAAACCTCTCCCTATTAACCTCCGCCAGTACCTTGATCTTCTCCCTCCGCTCCATCTCCTCAGCTTTAACACCAGCACTCCCACCACCAACATCCTTACCCACGCGATCAACATCAAACAACGACGCAAAGTACAACAGCTGATTCCAAACATCACGTTCTTTAACCACATAGCTCATTTTACCGAGGCAGTCGCGCGCCAGACCCTTGGGACCCAGACAGCGGTGGCCGTAGACGGAGATACTGCGGGTGCGGTTTGAGCACTGCGGGTCATCGCAGACGACGTGGCCGGCGTAGTAAGTGGCGAGTATCTGACGGATAGCGGATTCGAGTTGTGCGACGACTGTGATGTTGGGGATGATGGTACCGCAGGTGGGCGCGGGGCATTGGATGCCGTTGTGGGAGATAGTTTGTAGGGAGAGTGTAGTTGGGGAGGTGGAGGCGAGGCCTTGAAAGGGGAAGACTGTTGTGCATGTTCTGCAGCGGAGCCAGAGCGGGGAGCAGGATTGGAAGCGGACGGAATCTGGGATTTGGGATTCTAGAGGGTGGATCTCCGTGTCTTGTTGGGCGCTGCCGGATACCGTGCTGACGCGGTATTTGGAGCTGTCGAGCCCGAGACAGGCGGCGAGGAGCGTGATGTTTGTGCCGCTGATGGGGGCGCAGAGACGCTCGACTGGGGGGAGGATTTGCTTGTGGAGGTAGTAGTCGATGTCGGGCTTTAGTCCGCTGTCGGGCTTGAGCACTTCGTCGACGGGGAACGCGTTCTTCGCTGCGTTTTCTGCGGAGCCGGATGATTCGCCAGTGATGATGAAGCTCATGACATCTTTGGCTTTGACGAGCTTGCCCTTGGACTGAAGGCGCAGAGCCACTTGGACTGCAGGCATAGAACCGCCGTTGGGGTACTCCTTGGGATTCTTTCCCAACTGTGTGTAGATAGTGTACTTGCGAGCAGGAATCGCATATTCGCGCATTTGCTTGCTGAGCTCGCGAAGGTGATTGTGGATCTTCTCAACAACTACTTCTGGATCCTCCCCACTAAGGAGGAAATTGAGCAGTTCTCTATGGCGGTGTTAGCTATGGCAAAGGTCGGGGAGTGGTGAACTTACGTAGACGTTTCCTTTGAAAGGGCACAGTACTCCCTACGCCTCATGTCCAGACCTTTGACTTCAAGCTTCTCGATGTACTTGCCGTCCACGGGCACCATGTTGATCGCGGCATACTTCTTCTTCGCATGCAGCAGGATGCGACGGAAGACATTGTCAATATCAATCTCCAACAACTTATAGCTGTCATTGACCTCCCTCTTGAACTCATTGCCCAGCTTGAGTGCATCCTGAATGTTGTCGACATTGGTGTTGATCATGACGGAATCGGTATCACCGTAAATGACACGAAGCGCCTTCACCTCAGCCATGTCCTTGGTTTTGCGGAGAATCTCTCGACCCTTGTACGTTGTAAGCATAGCCAGAGGCCTAGCGTAGAAACGCGATTTAGTATATCCCAAACATCCGTACATGGAGTTGGCAGTCAGCTTTAAAGCCATCTGCTTAATATCCCAGGTGGCCAGCTGATCCGACGTCGCATCCTTGGCCTTCATCAACTTCTTCACCTCACGACGTCGAGAGACAAGCGTGGCGATAAGGCGCGGTAAGATACCCTGTTGTTGATCTGTAGGTACCTCGGGTACCTTATCATCGTCCTCTGACAGATCAGAGCGCTCGACGGTGGTGAAGCAAATGTTGAACTCCTGGATGATACTGGGATACAGGGAGTTGAAGTCCATGACCAAGATGAACTTGTCGTAGAGTCCCTTTTCAGGCTCAAAGACAAGACCACCCTTGAACTTGTCCTTCTTCTTTGCGTCCGCACCTTCCTCGCCCTCAGCGGCTTCTTCGTCGACCTTGGCTTTGCTCTTACCCCACTGTTTGTCGGGGCAAATGTATTTATTCTTGTGGAACTCGTGGAGCAAAATGTATTCGTTACGCTCGGCACGAGTTCCGCTGAGAGTTCGACCCCAGGAGTTACCAGCCAAGTTCGTGAGGACTTTGGTAAGTGGAAGCATTTGCACCTTGATCGAAATAGCAGCGATGAAGTAAGCGTCGGCTTGGCAGTGCTTGACGTAGTTGAGAAGGCCTTCTTTTGTCGTAGCCCAAGTCTTGAGGGCAGCATCGTTATCGAGCTCTTCACGTCGCTTGTTGAGTACCAGCTGGCACATTTCTTCTAGACTCCACGACTGACACTTGGTCATGAGGGATTTTCCAAGATCGTTGGCCAAGTCGCAGAGCAAACGGCCAGAAGCCAGTTGCTTCTCGGCGAAGAAGCTGCCTCCACCCTTGCCCATGCTCTTGGGCCAATCGCTCCTCTTGAGGCGTCCGATACGATGCCATCCCGGGGTCTTCTTCTCCCGCAGGCGGCTCAACAGAACACTGTAATCTACATCGTCAAGACGATGGCCAATGAGAACATCGGGGTCGTGTCGCTGAAACATGGCCATGAGTAAACTGAGGAGTTCTTGCTCAGTCTTCTTGAGGTACATGTTGCCTTTGATCTTCTCGACTTCCTTTTCAAAGCCAATTGGAAAGGAGCTTCCATTCGGCCGCATGATTGTGAAGCTCTTGCACTGCATTTGGTCCACGGGGGTGGTGTCGGTCAAAGAAAAGTTGTCGTAAATCATAGCGCTGGCCATCAGGATTTCTTGTTTGTTGTCCTTGGCATTAAATGTGGTTCGCAACGAAAGACTCATGAGCGTCATGGGAGGTGCATCCAAATTGTCCGAAGCGCTCATAACTGCGATGTTGTTGGGTTTGCTCACCAGTACTTCGAGCTTGCACCAAGAGGCATTTGAAAGAGACCCAAAGTCAGGGTTATCAATCTTGAGCCAGCAAGGTCCCATTATATTCTTCCAGAGGACAAACTGCTCGAAAAGCGAAGTGTTGGTTCCGAATACGTGTGAAAACGTCTCTCCCTTCAGATCAGAGGACAGCGGCATCTTGTCGTATCCGTACAAAAGTTTGAGATAGTCGGCTTCCTTGGGTATGTCGGGCAATTCAAATGCGTATTTCCTCGTACACGGCTTGATCTTGTGAAGGTTCACTCGGTGTTTGCTCATGATTGAATCGACCTCGTCCGATACGTCGCTTAGCCCAACCTCTTCGTCGGTAGCTACGCCTCTTACGTGACGGTATTCCCGGGGCAAAAAGTAAAGCTTTCGGAGGATGTTGTCGACTTTGACGAAGCAACTGGAATAGTTTCCCGTCTTGTTGTTCTTGACCTTGCCGAACAAACACAAGCTGCCGTTGATTTCAGTGTAGTCAATCCAGAAGAAGCGCAGGCTACCATCTTCTTCCACTGCGTCCTGTGGTTCCATTTTACCTATGCCTGTGTTTTGTGGGGCAGGACTGCTCATGACGTTGAGCTTGCTTGTGACGTCGCTCCAAGAAGAGGCATCGAAAGAGGCTGTTGATGGGCCAACAGGTGACGAGTTGGCGGGTGTAGGGTTTTCCTCCTTGAGTTTTGCTATCGGTCGTCTTCCCGCCATGTTGACACTGGCAACGGGTACTCCGTGATGGGTGGTGGGTTGGGCTATCTCCATCAAATCATCTTCCTCTTCCTCTTGTTTTACCACAGGCTGTGTTCGCCGCTCTACGGCTTTTGTTACGGGTGATGACGGTAGCGGAGGGTCACTCATGGCAATGTCGTCGTCAAATGTAGGAAGACCGTCGTCGTCTGCGTGTGCATTCAGCGCTGGCGGCGTGTCTGGCATGTAAGCGTCCGAGTCATCTGTACGTCTTTTCGTGGCTGCCGGGCGGTTCTCGGATATCGGAGGTGATAGGACTCTTGTTTTCCGTCTCGCTTCAGTCTTGATGGGTCGCATTCGGCTTGAAGAGGAGCGGGCGGGGTTTGTGTCGATTTCCCCTAATAGATCGTTCATGAAGTCTTTGTCGGCCTCTGTAGCGACCGGCTAGGTATGTCAGTATCGACATGCGCAATTGGATCTCCGAAGATTGTACCTTTGCTTTCGGTGCCTTTGCAGCGTTCTTGGCGTTGAAGTACTTGCTGATGCCTTTATCAATCTTTTTCCGCTTCTCTTCGTCCTCTTCGCGTTTCCGTTTGGCTATCGGACGTTAATACCGGGGCAAAGCCGTTGTCTATAGGTCATATCATACCGGCTTTCCCTTTGGCGGGACGCTCCTCTCCTTCGCTGTCTGTCGCAGCATAGTGGTATTTGCCCTGGTCATCATCCCACTCTTCTCTGCCATCATCGACATATCCCTCGCCTTCGTCGCCGACCACAAAGTCATCTTCGTCCAATCGGCCCCTCACAATCTTTTTGTATCCCTCTTCATCGACGGTATCGTACAATTGCTCTTCTTCGGCCACTTCGTATGTGGATAAACGCGTCTTGCCCGCCGCTCGATTGGCTCTCAATTCCGCCAACAGGGCAGCGCCCGTCTTCTTTGCTACACGAGGCATGGCGTATTACAATGTATAAAGTATGCGAGCAAAGAGCGAAGTGAAGGAATTGGTTACGTGCTGCTGTAGTCTGCGTGTTTGGGGGGCTAGTGGGACGACAGATCAAAGTGCAGGCACGAGGGACGCGCTAATACGCACCATGCACGCGACGCGACTGCCATTAATCACGCCAAGCCTGCCCAATTAGTACTCTCTATTACCACCCCACAACCACGTGCTTCAACCTTCACACCACACGTCATCATGGCATCCGTCTCAAAAGCTCCTCTTGTCTGGATAGACTGCGAGGTGCGCGTAGTCAGAGCTCTTCGTTGTATCTCGTTGACCCCGCTAGATGACTGGCCTGAACACCGACATTGACACCATCATGTCTCTCGCCGTCTTCGTCACTGATGCGGACCTCAATTTCCTCGATGAGACAGGTTACGAAGCCATCATCCACCACGACAAGGAACAACTCGACCGCATGGGCGAGTGGTGCACACGCCACCACGGCCAGTCAGGTCTGACCCAAGCCTGCCTCGACTCCACCACCACCGCAGAAGAAGCCGCAGAAGGCCTGCTTTCTTACATCAAAAAGTATGTTCCCGAGCGTCGTATTGGGCTCCTAGCTGGAAACTCGGTCCATGCCGACAAGTCGTTCCTGGTAAAAGAGCCCTACAAGATTGTCGTCGATCACCTCAACTATCGCATCATGGACGTGAGCAGCATCAAGGAAGCTGCGCGTAGGTGGGCACCCAAAGCAACGCTCAACAAGATTCCAAGGAAGCAAATGCTTCATGAAGCGCGCGCTGATATCCTGGAGAGCATTGAGGAAGCGCGGTATTATCGCAAGACCTTTTTCGTGACGCCACCGAGCATTGCGGAGGCGCAGAAATAATAAGTATCGACATCCTGCAGTACCTTGAAATACTCAGGTGAGCGTCTCCATTATCTGTAACCATATTCACGGCGCTCTACAATCTCAGTACAATATTGTGGAAGTTACACCCTTTTCGGGCAGAAATACTCTCCTAGAATAGCAGTGTAGATGTATAAGGATACAAAATGATGATACGACTTACCGCCGTGACAGCAGTCAGACAGAATTTCTATACACATGTCTATTTATGAGTGTGTGTTCTCAATCCCTCCCTGCCCATCTCCAACATCTTCACTCCGCAAACAGCACATTGTTATCTCCGCCCTACCCACCAACTACATACAATACTCATCCAGATCAAACGATACAGACACAAAAACCTCACTATATAACGCTGGTGACTCATTCAGGTATTTCCGTCCAACCGAGTTATCAAATTTGTATTTTTGGCCCTACACGAGGGCGGATATGCATCTGAGTGGATATACATCCGCTTACGGAAGGTGCGAGCATATGCCCATGTCTGTCGCGCTTCATGCTCTGGATTCGCAACGATTCCCAGCCCCATACCACAGTATCGCATTTCCAACGCATGAACAGTTCAGTTGTCGGAATTCGAGGTATTGATGCGCTGGTATCGCAGTAGAGATACGCGAATCTGGAGATTCCTACCTCACACATCCAAGATCAAGGCCCAACTGATCAATTCAACAACTTCTAAACTTACGTAGAGTTCTCGGGAAGGGTTCATAATTCTGGGAGAGCGCATGTGCATGCATCCCATCCCGTCACGTCTATCCAGAAACGAAGGTACCCTATTGCGAACATACTCACATGCCCAGAACCTAGCATTATCGCCTACTCTATTTCCAAACAACGCGGTTCCTTCTAACCTGCCTATTCCAGCTCTAAGCTTCACCCGCACCATTCTCACAAGGCCCGATTCCAGATAAGTTCGCTTCTCTCCACAAACCCACAAACACCCGCTTTCCACGTTTCATCCCCATTTTCGCGCCCGGTACATGCACTCGAATGGGCACTTTGTTCCCCTGAAAAAAAAAGCCAAGCATGGCAAATTAAATCTCCAAATTCGGCCCCTTGTGCTTTTGCTGGGGTTATTTCCAACCCTAGCGAAAAAGTCGCCTGTTCGTAGGAATTGTAGTTATGGGGGTTATGCCTAAAAAGGCAGAAGACAAGAAAAACGTCATGTTGAAGCTTTGCATATACGGTAGTAGTTTGAATTGATAGATTATTAGAGTCTATGCAAAATGGAACTACGGTGCCCCTAAAAAGTTCTTAAAGCGCGTTGTTGTCGTCTAGTTGTGTTGGTTCTTGTTCACACCCACCACACACGTCTTCACTCTCGTTTACAATGCTCTTCTTTACCCGTGTGACGGCGTTCGTAGCGGCCGCGGCGCCCTTTTTCGCCAATGCAGCTCCTGTTGCAGCGGAGCAGAGGACGAATGAAGTTATCCCGGGGAAATACATCGTTCAGCTGAGATCTGACGCTGATGTCGCGGCTGTGGCTGCTCACCACAACAAAGTGCGCGATATATATGCTCGTAACCTAGCGAGGCGGGGGGATGATGGTAGTGCAGGTGGAGCGCCGGTCGAGCGCGAGTATGGGTTTGGCGAGTTCAAGGCGTATGCTGGGTCGTTTGATGAAGCGACGGTTGAGGAACTGAGGGGTTTGCCTGAGGTAAGAATCTAGTTGTGTTGCGTGGTTGGATGAGATTCTCCGATGCTGACAGCTTGGATAGGTAATCAGTGTTGAACAAAATTTCATCATGAGAAGTACGGGTTTTGTAACACAAGCGAGTGTGCCGTGGGGTTTGGGTAGTATATCTTCTCGCACACCGGGATCGACATCTTATGTCTACGACGACAGTGCAGGCAAAGGCACGTTTTCCTATGTAATCGGTAAGTTGAGGGAGACAACCTATGAGAAGTTGACACAGTACTGATACTTCGATATCAAGACACCGGCGTTCGTATCACACACAACGAATTCGAGGGTCGAGCAATCTGGGGCTTCAATGCCGTATCCGGCTCCCCTGATACAGACGACGATGGCCACGGAACGTAAGAAACTCCCCCATCACTCCCCCAATCCTCGTCATCTAACACAACACCAGACACGTAGCCGGCACCCTCGGCGGAAAAACATACGGCGTAGCCAAAAAGACGACAATCATAGCCGTAAAAGCGCTAGCAGGCGACACTGGCAGCGCCTCAGACGTCTTCGCCGCCTTCGACTGGACCGTCAACGACATTGTAGCCAAAAACCGACAAAACACCTCCGTAATCAACATGTCGCTCGGCTCCTCCGCCTCTTCCACCTGGGACGCCGCCATCACCGCCGCGTGGAACAAAGGCGTCCTCGTCGTCACGACAGCAGGAAACGAAAACTCGCTCGCTAGTCAGAGGTCTCCGGCTCGCTCCCCGGAAGTCATCTGCGTGGGCAATGTTCGGATTGATAATCAGAGACTTGGTGGACCCGGGGGGTCGAATTATGGTGATGCTGTTGATATTTTTGCGGCAGGGACGAATGTTCTTTCGGCGGATATGGCGAGTGATTCGGCTACTAGGGTGAGGAATGGGACGTCTATGGCATCGCCGCATGTTGCCGGGTTGGTGTCGTATTTGAGGGGGCTGGAGGGGCCGATGAGTGCGAGGGATGTGAAGGCGAGGGTGTATGCGTTGGCAACGCCGGGTGTTGTAACGGATACTATGGGTTCGGCGAATTTGTTGGCGTATAATGGCAATAAATAGTAGTTTCAGATCACGGGGAGCGAGGGATGGTTCGTAATTGTTATAGAAGTGCAAATAAGAGCCAGAGTTAACTTTTTAGAAAGGGTGTCCTTCGTGTGCTCTAAAGCTTCGTGATTTAGATGTGTCTGAAGAAGGCGTGGAGGTAGTTGGGGTGGTTCGACCTCAAGCGTCCACATCTTTCCATGCGTCAAAGGTTGATATGATGCCCTGAAGTTGTCCGACTTTGCCTCTACACAATTATACTGGCAACCTAACTCAACTTTGCCTTATTTACACTAGTGCCTTCACCGCCTATGTCTCACTCATCCATACTTGTCAACGAGCGAGCCGGCTCGCTCAGCTCGCTCGGCTTGGACGTTTTGACCAAGCCGAATGAGCTGAGCGCGCAGTGCGCGCTTTGCAAGCCGAGCGAGCTTAGGGATAGGCGCTCGCTCAGTCAGCTTGCTTAGCTTGGTTGGATGGGGCGGTTGGAAACTTGGGGCTGAAGGACTTGGTGGAGGGGCAATCTCACGATGATTTTTAGGTGTAGTGCGTAAGTTCGAAACCTAGTTATAACCTAAAATACACTCTTTTTTTGCTATATTTCTAGCAAATAAGCTACTAAATTTCCGGCTAACGGCCTGGCAACAATATTCTCCTTCTGCGACACTTCACTTACTACTTATCACCCACCACACTCACCTATACTCCATCAACGCGTCTCTATTTGCAGCTATTATCTACCTCGCCGTTGCTATAATGCCAGCAAAAAGAACACGCGTTAATGCTCTAGAAATCGCGACAACTTCGAAGCGCCCTAGAGTCGCAGCGCGTCATCGCGGGACTGCCAGCCAACCTGTGCTAGTCGATACTCGGC